TAGGTTTGATCTTTTAATGGTGTCACAGAGTTCTTGCAAATTCCTTGTGTATTTCTTCATTCTTTTCTATATATCTTTGTTTATTATTATATTTACTTTATCTTCAAGTACTGAAATTCTGTCTTCCTCTTTTTCTGTCTGCCAGAGTGGCTTTCAATTCTATTTTTTGTTTGACTTAAGAAGTTTTTCATTTCTGGGGCTTCCTTTTTTTTGAGACTTTATATGTATATCTTTATTAAGCTCCTCCTTCACATCTTACATTGTCTTTGTTATTCATTTACCTCTTTTTTGGTATCTTCCTTAATTTCATTCAGATGTTTATTTGCATCCTCTGAGTTTATTTAGTTGTTTCTGTGCCTTCTTGAACTGCTTATTCATATTCTCTTGGATTTCATTAACTTGTTTTTGCATGTCATCTTTAAACTCCTTACTCATTCTTACCATCATTCTTTTGAACTTAGAAACTGAGGTTTTGTCACCTTCACTATTCATCAGATCATTTTTCGTGTAATGTTGATCTTTTGAGGAGTCATCTCCCCTTCTTCTTATTTCTATTTTGAGATTTGCTCATCTGTTGTTGATTAGTTGGTTGGGAGTTTTAGTTGCCTAAAATCTTTCCTTGGACATATTTTCTATGTTCTGGTAGGAGTGGATATTGGCTAAATTCTTGTGTCATTTCTGTTCCTGATGGTTTGTAGTTCCCTCTCTCTGGTATCAGAGGGATCCTCAGGTTGGTGGTTGGTGGTTGACAATTGTTCCCTTTCACTGAAATCTGGGACTCCCCCAGCTTCTGGAATATTTGTAGCCCTGTGTGCCAATTTTTAGCACTTTCAGTGGTCTTTGTGGACTGGCAGCTACTCTGGTTCAGAAAATAAAAAGAACACTCACCAGCAGTGAATATGTTCCTGGTGGTGCCCACACACACCTGAGACAGATTTGTACTTTGAAAGGCTTATTTAGAGGTTGGCCATTATATATATAGTCTGTCTATATTTTGGCAACCTCTTATTTAGCTAACTAACCAGACCAACTATCCTTGCTGCCATGAACCTAAGGTTATCTTTCAGGTTTGTGGGAACTTGGTGATCTACAGTTTCTTGGGCTGCTAGATTGTTTATAAAGTGACAAACATGAGAAAAAAATTGATTTGTGGTTTATAGAGTTAGAAGCAGAACTTCAGAGTATATTTTCAGTACTCTCAGCATGTAAAAATTTCTTTTTCCCTGTGCTTCAGTCATAACAGAACCCACAGGGGAGAATGTGATTGCAGATTGGAGGTTTTTAATCAACTTTGCTTTGTTCTGAAGGCACACACAATATTATGGGAGCTGATACAGATTACTTTGACATAATGATAATGGTTCTTGATCCTTTGCCCCAGTTCTTATCCCTGGAGAGACACAATGAGAACCAGTTGGATGTCACCCTACATGCAAAGGGGTCTGTACTGTAAGAGGGGATTTGGAGAAAATAAATCTGAGCATTTATGTACAGGAGAACAGCAAATGTCTTCCATCCACTCGAAAAGGAGGGGGAAAGCTCTGTGTTCCTCAAAAGTGGGATGGGAAGGATCTTTCTAGAATGTAAATAAATTTCTCAGTGGGCCAGATAACACAAGTGTCTCCAACTTTACAACTGAGCACTTTCTTTACTTCTGGTGAAGGTCCCAGGCTTCATCCCAACATGGAATGTAAATACTCCTCTCTAAAATTACATAAATCTCTTGTACCCTCAGAAACCATATAGTGTAACTTACCATCCAGTGCTTGGTTTTAGTCCAAGGTATTTCAATTTCCATAAAATTTACTGAGAAAGCTCTAACTGTGCAAAGTGCAAAAAATATTTTCTCTATACCCCAGAGTCTTGCAAATTCACTTCTTCCTTGTCCTTGAGCATATGGTTGTACAGCTAAAGACCCCATCTCCTAATTACTTTCAGACAGATGTGGCCATCTGATGGAGTTCTCACCAGTGGAAAATTTCATGTCAGGTGTGGCACTGTGTGCAGTATAATGCTGAGCTAGGAACTGCTGTGAGTTTGCATGTGATGCAACAGGTGCTGCCTATTTCTGTACTTGTTCCACAACTTTAAAAATCGTGTTGTTCCCTTGTGAATTTGTTGTGGTACCACTTCACTTTTAACAGAAAGTGACACTGACAGAATTTGTTCTGGTGATACACATAAATAACCAAATATAGGAAAAGATCATTTGGCCCATCCATGTTGTGGTTTCTTATTTCACAGTCATTTAGTGACTCCTGTGTGTAATTCCTACTGGAAATGGAGTAGAACAGAATCTAAGGCTAAAGGGTTCATTTGTTTTCTTAAATGAAAAAATGAAATTATTCGTGTGATCAAATGTTCTTTCCTCACAGATGGTGACACATTCTTTCAACTTTCCCTCATTGATTCCACCTTCATTCTGGAAGTATATCTCACTGTGTAAAAAGTTGTGAGTTAGCATTTCTTTTATTTCAGTTCTTGAAAGATAATTCTGGCCTCTGTGGTTTTAGATGAGAAAGTCACTGTCATTTGGACGATTACTCTCCTATCTCATGAATATTTTCTCTCTAGATACTTTTGACATTTTTATTTTGTCTTTAGATTTCAGAAATTTGATAGTATCTTGAATTTCTTTTTCGCTTTTGTTGTTGTTCTGTTTTTTAAGACATATCTCACTATGTAACCCAGATTGGCCTCAAATTCATGATCCTCCTGTCTTGGCCTCCCAAGTGCTGGCATTATAGACATGTGCCACAATACTTGGCTATCTTGAAGGTCTTTGATTATATACTATTTGGAGTTCACTCAGCTTCTAGGTTTGTGTGCGTATGCACGCATGCATTCATGTGCATTGCTGGATATCAAACTCAGGCCTTTTCACACATGAGGCAAGTTTCTTGAACTATGGATTTATGCCTTTGTTAAATGGGGACCTTTTCAGCCATTATTTCTTTGAATACTTTTTCAGTTCACACTCTATTCCTTTTCTTTTTGGGACTCTGATGAACCAATGTTAGATCTTTTGTTACACAAATTCTTGAGGTTTTTTTCTACCTATTTTTCTCTACAGCTTTATCTTCAAATTCATGGAATCTTTCCTCTGGCATCAACATTCTACTAATGAGCATATCCAGTAAGTTTATATTGCTTCTTATACTTTTCAGTTTAACAATTCCATTTATTTCTCTTTTATATCTTCTATTTCTTCATTTGTTTCAAGTGTGTTTGTAATTGCTTACTGGAGCATTTTCATAATGACTGTTTTAAATTCCTTGACAGATAATTCCAATATATATGTCATCCTAATGTTGGCACCGGTTAATTCTTTTTTCTTTATTCAAGTTGAGATTTTCCTGGTTCCTGACATGATGAGTGACTTCCTTCTATTATATCCTGGACATTTGGATTGTGAGACCAGGGATCTTATTAAATCTTCTATTTTACTAGGCCTCCACTGATAGTGTGCCAGCAGAGAAAGAAGGTGGAAAGCTGGGATGCTCATGTGCCTTCACCAACATTCAACTCCACCTGCTGGGGTGTCATGGCTTCCTGGGGTGGACAGAGAATAGTACCTGTTACCATCAGGTGAAGGGTGGAACTTCAGGATCCCCACTCTGCCTCCTCTGCATCATTCCAAAAGAGAGTGTGTGTAAGTGTGTGTGTGTGTGTGTGTGTGTGTGTGTGTGTGTGTGTGTGTGTACGGGTGGTGTCTCATTGTCACCAGGCAATGATGAAAGCTTAGGCTCTCCATTCAAAATTTGCTGATAGGGATGATGGAGATAGTGGAGTCTGGTATTTTCCATGCTGGGTTGGGACAGTTTTTGTCAAAAAATTTCTGTCTTGTCAGACTGTCCCTTTCCTCATCTTTGGCAAGAGGGGGGGCATTTTTTTGTCTACATGCATCAGCCTTTCTGGGTGATGGGCAACTCCATCCCTCACCTCAGAATATAGAAGACACAAATAGAAAACCTAGGGAACTCAACATCATGTTTCTTAAGACTCAGGGTCCCTGGTCACTCCACTTGCTTCTCTGCACTTCTCAGAGTCTTATGTTTGTTTTATATATAATAATGTCCAGGGTTTTTAGTTTGCTTAACAAGAATTAAGGGAAATGAGTCTGCTTCATGTTTTCTGGGAGCAGAAGTCCTGCTTTTTTAGTAGAAATTTCTTCTGGGTAACTCTATTGTCCCCAGAAAGAATTTTTACAGCAAAAAAACCCAAAATGTAGGGCTGGCATAGTGCTCAAATGGTAGAGTGTCTGCTTAGCAAGTATGAGTACCATAAAAACAACAACAACAACAAAAACCTGTAAACACTTCTATCCTTCTAAACAAGTTGAGAGGTCCTTCCCCAAGGGCCTCTGTTGCCTAGTATGTTCACAGTCCACCAGTTGAGGAGCAAGAAACATTAGGAAAAGTAGAGCGAGTAGGTAGAGAAATTTATGAGAACAATAAAACTATTTGTGTAGTGGTGGTTTGTCAGTATTTTTCTTTTAAGATTTTTTTTTCTTCACCATATCCCATACTTCAAAGTATAGTTGGAAAAGTAAACATAAATTTATAAAGTGAGATTTAAAAGGTAACAATTAGAGCATTATATACTTTTTACCTTCTAGAACTTCACCTCCCCCCACCCCAGATAAAGATTAAAATGAAAAGAAAAAAAAAACCCTTTTTATTCTGGTTTTTATTTAGGTCTTTGCTTAATTGGACTTGTAACTTCTTTCCATGAGTATAAAATCACTATCTACTAACCATAAAAACCAAACAGATCATAAAGGCAAAAAGTTATGAACTGATGTCCACACAATGGTTACTAAAGACCAAACTTACATAACAGCTGAGTTAATGACTAATAACACATTAATCATCTTATTCTATAGCTGTTTTTCAGTTGAACCAGAAGATCTGTCCTACGTTTGATACTCGGTTATCCCTGAAGTTTGACATGTTGGATGTAGTTTTTTGAAGATTTGCCTTTTTTCTGCATTTGATATTCTAGGAAAAGTTGCTGACCTGTCTCTTTCTTCCTATGAGAGCTCTTTTTGCAATACAAGCATTGAACCGGTTATTACAAGCTTTCTTACTAAGACAAGCATCCGAGTTTCTATAGAGTCTGCATTTTTTATGAAATGTACCCATTGTATTCTGCTTATTAGTTTCTATTCTCTCTGCTTCTGCTGGCTTTTGATTTTTCTTGTCCTGTTCATGGCTTATCTGAGTTGGCTTCTCCTGTGGTGTTCCCTCTTGGTGCTGCTGGAATTCCTTCAGAATCTCTACTCTGTGCTGTAAGATCTCACATTCATTCTCCAGCAGTGCTGCGATCAGATGCAATGAGTAGGTGTCATGGTTCAGTTTCTTCACCTGTTCTTCCAACTCATGCTTCGCAGACAGTTCATTATTTGATTGGGTTTGGGGATGGGCTTGGTTATCTTCTAGAGTTTCGCTTCCGTCTTTCTGAGATTCCTGGTAGGATTTTATTAGTTCACTGAGTTCAATGTGCTGTCTACTCCAGTGATCTGCTTCCTGGAGTAACTGCTCCATGTTGTTCCTAAGTTTCCTGTTTTCTTCTTGAATAAGAGATCTGTATTTTGCTTCATCCCTACGCAGTTGAATTCTGGTTAAGGCTTTTTTTAATTCTAAACGAGTTGACAAATGCCTTGCAGAAACTTGTACTGTGTTCTCAGAGTTCTGTTTTTTCAATATCATCTCCTGTTTCTTTGCATGTTGTTCCTTCTCTGGGTCTAAACTAATTAGCAGTTTTGTCAATAGCACTTTATTTGTTTTGTCAAGTCCTCTGATATTTTCAGTAAGTTCTGACACATTCTTAGAAGTATTGGTATCCTTTAAAGATTCTTTTGCTTCTGTGGTCTTCTCTTCAAAGCCTTCCATGCTTTTAAGAATACCTTTAAGGTCCTTTAAGAGATCACAAAACTTCTGCGTTGTCTGTGGTCCTGTTACTGGTTGCCTATTATTATTTATGGAAGGGAGGGAGCCCCAGCAAAAAGGGGGAATTGATGCAGTTTCCAACAGGGCGATGGTGATCCCAGCGTCCTTTGCCTCTTGATGAAGATCGGGAGCAGGATTAGGGGGTTGGGAGGGTGTGGACATCTTGGCAGAGTTATCAGAGCTGGCCATCAAGCTGGAGAAAAGCAGGAAACCTTAGAGATTCCAGGAAGTACAGGTGACAATCTTCTTTGCAAAAGGGTGAAGAATGTGGAAGCAAGCAGAAGTCAGGGGCCAGAGTTAAACACTGAAACTGGGGAGATGATGTTTTAGGTGGAAGGTGACATCTCAGACAGCCTAGGGGGAAGGGGTAGGAAAGGGGTCCAGGAGCTGGGGCTCCATCTTTCCCTTTACAAGGCTTCTGGTATTTATTCCCTGATCCTAGCAACCAGGTCTTTATTCTGTCACTGTATCATTGTGGCCTGTTCCCAGCTTCTGTCTCCAATGTGTCACAATGGAAGTTTCTTAAACTCCTGCCCAGGGACTCAAGCATCAAAATTAATCTTGAGCTATGGCTACTCCCCACCTCGGAAAGGTCTCTGCCAGAGTCCTTCCTTTCCTTTCTCTGCTAGCCTTTTATTTGTCTCATCCTAAGGGCATTGTGATTCCTTCCTTACCTCAACTCTACCCCTGCAGCCCCAACCTCAACCACAGTGAGTTTGTGTCCCATCCAAGAACATAGCTGAGTGAAGTCTTCCCTGGTGAAGTCCCCACTCTTCCATAGAAACTAAGGGCCTTAGTGCTCCCATTCTGGGAGGGATGCTGCTAAGATAAAAGCTGGGAATGCAAAACAGAGCCCCGCAAAGTGCTGCATCTTGTTGTAATTGTAGGGGAATGTCAGGAACCACTCCATCAAAAATATTCTATTGCATGAGAAGAGACTGTGTGGACGAGACTTTAACGACACAATTACAAATGAGATTTCTTAAATTTTTTCTTTTACAGTGTTGGAGATGGAACTCAGGGCCTTGTGTGTGGTGGGTAAGTGCTCTACCACTGAGCTGCCTCCTCAGTCCTCAAATTGAGACTTTTCTTGGCTTTCATTACAGCTCTCATTAAAACAGTCTTTGTGAACTTACTCATGAATCATTTGCATTCAGTGATATAAAACTTTAAATGTTACTTTTCACAAAAACTGGTTAAGATGACCATATCTCTAAAGTATTTGAAAAAGCTAAATCTGATAATGGGCTGTATAAAAGTAATGGAATAATTTGAAATCTAGTGTTTTCTTGTCTTTTTTGTCCTAGGAGTCAGGACCTTGAGAATATAAGGTTCACAGACCGTGTTCCTTGGATGAGACATTTTCTTGCTACCAAATACTCTAAGTACATGTTTGCTTCCAATCTTAAGAACAAACTCACACTTTTTCTCCAGAGAAATGTGCAGGGATTTTTTTCTTCCATAGCTGCCAACTAACATTAGCTTTGATTTCCCTGAGCCTTATTCTCATCTTTCAACCAGCTCCCGCCATGAGTCACTGGTGACCCAGATTCCATAAGGCCAGGTTTTCTTTTTGCCTGAAAGAGCAGGTTTTAACACATACAATGATGCTACAGAGGCTAGAGGTCACTCTTACACTGTCATTCTACCTTAAAGGTTCAATTTTGGTTATTATCTCACCATGCAACAAGCATCATTTGAGACATTTACAAAATCTCTAGGACTTTAGGAGAATTTTTCCTAATTTCTTAAATCTGGCTGAAACCAGAAAATGCCTGGCATGTATGAGGCCCTGGATTTGATCCTCAAGCTCATCAACAACAAAAAGAAAATCTCTGCTTTTTGAAATCAGTAGATATTTTCTTTTTGATCTAATAGATTATCAATGTTAATATTTGAAAGAAAATGTGTTTTCTATTTTTTTCTTTTGTTTGCAGTTTTTTGAGCTGATGGGCATAAATCTGATTTTACTCTTGGCTTGGTTACTATGGAAACTAGTTTGAAGATGGCTTAGTTAAGAGATCAATGACAGGTTTTTTTCTTTTCTTTAATCAAACAGGGGTTTAAATATTTCCTTTCTCCTTACAACTATAGTGAATTCCAATGAATATTTCTGTTAATTTTACTGATATTTGAGTTTACTGTAGTGTCAAAAGTTATACATTTAGAATTGGCCTCTTGTTCTTCCTCTCCTCTTCTCTTCCTTCATTTTTCTTTTTGACCTTTTCTCTTTCCTTTTATTTTTGCAGTGCTAGGGATCAACCTCAAGGATTCATATGCTAAGCAAACAATACCATTGAGCTACCTCCCTGGCCCCTCTTTTCTTTATTGATTTATGTTCTCAGTGGACGACTATGAATATTAAACATATTTGCATTGCATTACAATTTTAATCTACTAAGTTTCTCATAGCTTACTAGCTTTAAAAATGAAAAATAAAAGTTATTTCTAAATTATTAGAAAATCTGTATCAATTTTTCTCTTTTTAAAACCAGTTTGCCCTTGCATAAAATCTTATGCTTTTAAAAATGCATTTGCATTTCAAAATAAGTATTAAAATATAGAATGGGATACTTATGGTTTTTGTGGTGCTAAGTGACTGACCCTAAACTCAAATCTTAAGTAAAAAATTAACAAAGGAAAAAGCTGGCACTGGTGGCTCACCCCCGTAATCCTAGCTACTGTGGAGGCAGTGATCAGGAGGATCACAGTTTGAAGTCAGCCTAGGCAAATAGTTTGCAAGACCCTATCTCGAAAATACCCAACACAAAAAAAGGGCCGGTGCAGTGGCTACTTGCCTATCCTCAAATGGATAGGCAAGTACAGCACCTGCCTATCAAGCATGAGGCCCTGAGTTCAACCCTGGTAGTGCCAAAAAAAAAAAAAAATCTAGGAGGAGCTGTCTTCTGCATACCTGGATTCAGGGGCTCAAGTTATATACTTAGGGCTTGACCTCACCATTTCTAAGTTACTGTTCTCTCTTTCTCCTTGCCTTAATTCTTAGGATTCTGTCTAGATGGTGGTCACAGCAGCTCTAGGCCTATATCGTACATGTTTAACAACCCCAGAGGAAAGGAAGGTTTTCATTCCTTATACTTCCAGTAAAAGTGCCAAGGAAACTGCTGAAAAGGGTGATACACACCTGTAATCCCAGCACTCAGGGGCCAAGTCAGGAGGACTGACAGCTTGAGGCCAGCATAAGCTACATAATGAGATCCTGTCTAAGAAAAAAAAACAAAATGAAAACAACCAAAAAAAACAAACAAGGGCCAAGGAAGACATTGATTGACCTGGCTGGGGTCATGTGTTCATGGAGCCTAGAGCCAGTCAGCCTAAGGACTGACTCAGGGAGAGAAAGGCTTGTGGGGCTCTATCAGAAAATAGGGGGATAAGTGTCTATCAGACAAAACCAACAGATGCCTGCCACACGTAGCTTAAGGCAGAATAACTTTTATTTTGAAAAAAAATTTTAGACAGGGAAAAATCGCTAAAATAGAGAGTTTCCATATCACCTTCATCTAGCATGCCTAATGGGAATATCTTGTATAATCTTAGTACAGTTATCCAAACCAGCATTGACAAATACCATTAACTAAGCTACCAATTTCACGGAGTTATCCAGTTCTGATGCCCTTTTTCTGCTGCAGAATCCTTTCCTTGTCATGTCTAGTCTCCTCTAATCTGTGACAGCCTCAATCTTCCTTTGCTTTTCAGGACATTTCTGATGAGTGGTGCTTAGTATTTGGTAGACTTTGCCTTAATTTGTGTTTGTCTAATTTCTAATCATTATTATACAGAGATTATGCATGTTGGGCAAGAGTGCCACAGAAGTGTGTGTCCTTCTCTGTGTGTCATATTAAAGTGTACATGATTCGATATGTCTTACATCTAGTGAGGTGAATCTTGATCATTTAGATGATATCTGCTGGATTCATTTACTATACAGTGTCTGTCTTTCCCTTTGTAATTAACAAACATCTTGGAGAAAATACTTTGAAACTATGCAAATATCCTGTTTCTCCTCATACTTTTTACCAATTTTAGTACCTGTAGGTGGATCTTGCCTATAATTACTACAGTGATGTTCTAATAGTGTTTTTTAATTTCCTTCATTTTTCTGATATTTATTAATTAGAATTATTTGGAAAAGAAGAACTGCCTCTTTTCCTGTATTTACTTACTTATTTATTCATTCCTTAATTCATTCAACTATGTGTTTATATAAAAATGGATTAATGGATACTTATTTTATTCTTTGGGTTACAATAAAATACTGTCATTTATGTTTTCTCAAATATGTATGAATAATTTTAATATGATTGGAAATTTGGGGTATAATGAAATGTTTTGGGTATTTTTTTGGCAGCACTGGGGTTTGAACTCAAGGCCTCACACTTGCTAGGCAGGTGCTGTACCACTTGAGCCACTCCATCAGGCCTGTTTTGATAATGACTTTTTTATTGAGATAGAGTCTCATGTACTATTTGCCCGGGGCTGGCTTCAAAATGTGATCCTCTTGATTTCTGCCTCCTGAGTAGGTAGGATTGTAGGCATGAGCCACTGGCAGCTGCAAAATGTATTTTTATTTTATCTAATTATTTTATGTAATTGTAGGTTTTTTTTAAAGCAAACAGTAGCTGATTGGTAATGACTATTAAGGGTTATTCTTATATGCACAAGGATTTTAAGCATTGTGACTTGTATGGTGCCTATAGATAAGAACATGTATGTGGCTATTTTAGAGGGGACTTTTATCAAAGTCTGGAATGTTTATTTAAAGAATCAAAATACAAGTGTATTTGCTGGACCCTGCTATGAACCTTTTCCATAGCATGTCCTCTTCCTTTGACCACCAGGTGGTACTATAGGATTTAGAAATTGCAAATGGGGTGTGTGTGCGTGTGTGTGTGTGTGTGTGTGTGTGTGTGTGGTGTGCGTGCGTGTGTGTGTGTGTGTGTGTGTGTGGTGTGCGTGTGTTTGAACTCTGAAATGAGAGGATTCTCAGAGATAATCTCATCCACAGACTTACTTTTTTCAGAGTTTGGGAGAATAAACTCTAAGAGACTTATCTGGAGTTCCAACTAGTTATAATAACAGCTAGAATTAGAGTCCAGCTCTCTAGCCTTGTTTAAGTTTCAGGAGAGACAGGGTCTGCAGAAGAGGAGGCTGGGGAAGAATTTTTTAAATAC